CCACCAGGAAGGGCCTAGGCCCCTTTTAAATGCTGCATTTGCTGCCACTATTCCTGAGGGAACTGTGGGCATTCTAATCCCAGAGAGAAGATCCAGGGGTCTCCACACTATCAGGGGCCTAAGGCTCCTGCTCCCCACTGGAGGAGGAGGGGGTGAAGGGACAGAAGAAGGAGTCAGGCCAGCTGTGTCCTGTCCTAATCTGTGTCATCTCAAGTTCCTCAAACCCTCCCAACAATCCTAATCTGGAGGTATGACCAGGCTACTTTCACAAAGGAGGAAACTGAGGCTCCCCTAAACCTCAAAGCCTGTTCAGAAACAGGGTTGAGGAGCAGTCAAACTTAAATAGATTTGTTTTAATTTATTTTGAGTTGCAACTGGAACGTTATATGAACAGGAGCAGGGAGTTGATATTCCTCTGCTCGTTCAAGCCAATGTAGTCACCTCTATGTGGTGGGCGAACAGAGTGAGGGGACCGGTAAGGCCGGATGCCTCTCTCCTTGCTCACTGGCCTCTGGCTGGAGACAGTTCCTAGGGCCCTCAGGAGTGCCTCATAGCATGCAGAGTCTCCTGGGAACACAGGGCAGCCATTCCTGAGCCTGGTCTATGCTTTCATCTACTCATTTCTGGCTTGAGTAGTCCCAGGGGCCTTGGACTTTTCTGGCATTCTGATGAGAGCCGTTTATGAGCCTTGAAATTCTTCTATACTTGCTCCTGGGCTGAGCTCCTATGGAGATGCCTATCGACTTGAGGCATTTGATGACACAGTTTCTTTCTTTCATGGAAAGGTTTCGCTAACTCTTTATTTCCCTCCCCTCTCCACTTCCACCCTCTCGTTATTTTTTTTGGCACTTGAAAAGGGCCACGTTGTTTCTGGAAGCCAGGAGGGCCTAAAGGTTTCAGAGGAATGTCCAGGTTTCGGATTGGGGAGAGGGGGGTGGTGGGGTGGGGGGGGGGGGACGAACACTAAGAAGGTGTTGCTGGCCCAGCCTCCCTTCTCCTCACCCTTCTCCTTTGAAGCTCCCCCACAGAGCAGGCTTTGTGTGCAGCCTGGGCCTCAGGAGGGGAGCCAGAACCACAGCCAATCATGGAGGGCCCTCCTCACTGGGAACCTCCTTCCTACAGTCCCCAGGGCAGAGAAGAAGCTGCTGTTCTCAGCAACATAGAGGCCAAAGAGTCCATGGGCGCAAGATTTTTTCATTTGTAGGGTGTTTCCATGGTTTTGTCCTCACTACAGCAGGGGGAGGCTGATAGAGTAGAAGTTCTGCAACTGCCTCTCTTTCCTCATTTTTCAGGACCCCTCCAGGCTCAGGTCTGTCACCTGTGCCTGCTTCCTATTGCCTGGGATCAGGTTCCCTTCAGTCTCCACCTGACTCCTACACATCCTTGGGAACATGGCTTACGCTGTCTTCTCAGAGGCTCCCCTTTGTTCCCCACTCCAGTGTCCTCAGAGCATTCAGCGCCACCTCCCTCCCTCTCCAGACCTTGAGCTCCACAAGGCTGGAACCCGGTTTGCTCTCCCTGGCTCAGGAGCGCCCCTTGTGGGCGGCCAGTAACCCACAGTGAGTGGCTGAACATCAGCATCTCGCCTACACTCACTCTTAACAATAACTGAGGTTCTGGGAGGTTCCTACTAGGGCCAAAGGTCTAGGCAGGAAGGAGTCAGGCCCCATCCTAAATCTGTTTTCAGATGTGGGATTTTTGCACAATGACACACCTCACTTATTTGGTTGAGGAGGACCAGGTTGGGCATGTATTTAGAGACTAAAGAGAGGGGAATGAAGGCACACACTTAGGCACATATAAGAGCTATATAAAATTACTTATGTATGTTACATATAACATTATGTAGTTACATAGTACAGATATTTGAAAAGTTAAATATAGGAGAGGGAGACAGAGAATAATGATGTAGATCCTTTTGCTATTTGTAAGAGACAAACTCATGATAAATAAGTCAAAGGAAAATATACTCCCAGAGTTTGTTGTCTTTAAAAGATTGTCTTGCCTGGAAATGTAAAGTGTTTTCCTTCATGTATTAACCATTCATAAAATTAGGTGAATTTTTTGGAGATGAGTTATCAGGCTCTTCTGCCTGTGTCTATCACTAGATCAGACAGTACACTGTGTCTGGCAGGCTTAATACAAATGTCCACAGGCCACCGTTAACAGCAGGCTTGGTCAGCTCCTTTGAAGTCAGAAGTAGGTCAGGACACTTGTGTAAGGGCCAGCTACATTGGGAAGAATTGAGGCTCCAGAGAGTTTCTAGCACTTCTAGGGGATGCTACACACAAGTGATACTACAGTTTGGGATAGACTTGAACTCCGAAGGAGGACTTAAGCTTTTAGTGCCAGGATGGCAACTCTCACATATCCAGAGGGTCATGCACATCCATGGATAGAGTGGCCCTGGGTGGGGACAGTGGGAACTAGAACAGTCAAGCTGCGTAGACAGAGGCCACTCAGCCCAGCTTATTGTTGCCTTGTGGGAAGGTGGGCCTGCCGTTGTGATGTGAAATCTCACAACTGTTAAAAACTTATTTAACTTTTGAAAACCACTCTGAGGACTGATCAAAACTCTCCTGGGCTGGGTCATTCTGGCAGTTCCTCTGAAGTGGGGAATTTCACATGTTTTTGGACCATTGTCTCTTTGGTGTGCTAAGAGTTTTAATTTTTGCTTACTTGAGTAGTATTTCTTCAAAGTAAAACTGATCTGGAAAGAAGCAGCCCTGCTTGGCGAGGACTGCTGATGAAGCTATTTCCTTTCCTTAGCTCAGAGGTCTCCTGGAAAGTCACCCCTCTAGACATTGAAACCAGGTTTATGTGGCCCCACCTCCGTGGAGCTCATCTGAAAAATGGGCCTAATTGGAGCGAGCTGATCATGCTGTGAAAGGATTATGAATCCATATGTGAAAAGTGCTTAGAACACGGGCAGGCATATCTCTGGGCTTATTAAACACTACCCACTTCCACTTATTAATACTATTAATAATTTACAGCACTACTCTAACTGCCTTTTCTCAGATATTTCCAGTACATGCTTTGTGAGTGTAGGCCTGGCAACTTTGCTCCTTTCCTGGAAGCTTTGAACTTATTTTCTTCACTAAAATGAGGCACTTACAGTATTAACCATGTTAAT